TCTGAGCTGATCGTCTCGAAGGGGGTCGCTCGTTCAAGGAAGTCTCGCTTGAGTTCATGCCAGATTTCCCAAACAAAGACCCGCTTGGATGCGTACGATGACTTGCCGGACTAGTGGGTGAATCCAGGCTCGTATCATCGGGAGATGGGTGGTTCTCCTTCTTCCGCCCGCCCATGATTTTCTTGAAGAAGCCCTTCTCGTGATCTTTAGCACTGGTGGGCGCTTCCAAGTCATATCTAGCTAATCCAGTGCCCGGTCGTGAGCCTTCGTAACCGTTCTTCCGGTTCTCGTTGCGACTATCGGAACGATTATCGAATGATCTGCTTGATGGGGGACCGGAGCCAGTGTTTGCAAAGGTGGAGTTGATAGATTCGGTACTGTTGACGCGGTTATGCGGGGAGTAGTACCGCGATCCGTTGTTGCTCAGGCCCGCACTGAGCTGACCGCCATTGGTCGCAAGACGGGCTGAAGGGAGCGCTGGGCTTTGCTGTGGACTTGCCTGGCGATAGTTCGACGCACCCAATGAAGATGGCGCAAACTCCGAGGATGCATTCGGGCTGTGGCGTACAGGCTTCGGATCTAGGCCTTGCAGAACCTCCCTCGAATAGGGACTGCGTGCAGGTCCTTCTGAGAAATCTGGAGTAGGGCCGAGACCGGGCACAGTGAAATTGCGTTGCTGTGTAGAGATGCGCCTGGGCGGGTTCGTACTACCGCCAGGCGAGTGCAAGAGCAGTTGACGGCCCGGACTCTCTTCGCCATTGCCAGCCGTGGTTGGCGTTGATCCAAAGTCCATGCCTCGGGTGCCGATGTAAGGTGAATTCTCCACAGTACCCTCTGTTCCGGCGCTCGTCATGCCAGTGTCGGATCGTTGCGGTGCTGCGCGGGGGTTGGCAATGTGGCCTGTCTCCACGATGGAGCGCACGAGTCTGCGCAGCTTGCGACCCTCGTCTCGCTCTCTGTTCTGATCCCATCCGGTCCCGCTTGCGGTGCATTGCTTGGCCAATTGGGGAAAGATGACCTGGTGCATCATGGCCACATTGCCTTTGCTGCCATGGCCGCGGCCGATATCCAAAAACTTTGAGCCTTCCAGACCCAATGTCCTGAACGTCTCTTGCCAGTCTCGCGAGAAGTTGTTGCTCGCTAACCAGTGTTGGACGCGTTCGGCTGGCCAGTGCATCGAAGAGTCATGTGGGGATATGGGGGTCGTGCCATTGCTTTCGGACCGGTGATAGACGCTGCCGTGATTCTGGACCATGGGATTCTGCAGCGTTGCGGTTGGCGGCCCAGACGAGTCGTAGACCTGGGCTCTCTCGGTGGGTATGTTGAGGTGGTTGCGACTGCTGGGCGTCGGGGGCGCGTTGAAGCCGTTGTTGGAGCCATACTGCACGCTCTGGACGCTTTCGAGGAGGCTGCTGGAGAAGCCCTGGGCGGACGTGTCGGCGTTGGCAGAGTAGTTGTCGTCGCGATAGTAGGGCTCGGGGTAGCCTCTCGACGTATGCAGTGGAGGAATGCCTACACCAGGCCCGAATGACTCGCCGCCGGGGATGTACGTGGCTGACGTCAGTGGAGGTTCGCGCTCGTGCTGGATCTGCTGGGGCGGGGGCCCTGGCGGAGGGGGGATGCTGTGAGGGTAGCTGCGATACTGGCTCGGGTCGTAGCCTTGCTGCTGGTACTGCGGCCGCGGGGGACCCCAATTGCTGGCATGGGGAGGCGGCGGGATGGAGATGCCGTAGCCCGTGGGTCGTGGAGGCGGCGGGGGGAGGGCGATGTGGCCGGCGGGCGTGCTCGAGGGCTGGGGCGGCGGAGGGGGGATGTATTGATGCATCGCTGGACCCTGGACGGTATGCGCCCGTCCACGTGGGCTCGAAGCTGGCGCGCTGGGTCCGCCGGGGGAGAAGGAGGGATATGGCGAGCCGAGATTGCTCAGGCCCAGCGGCTGCAGCGACGACGAGGGCGACGAGGTGACGCTGGGGATCTCGGGCAGCGGGAGGCTGGTGGGCGGGTTGCGGTTCGGGCGCGGTGCGCGACGGGCAGAGCGGTCGGAGGGCGTCGATATGTTGGACGCGGAGCGCTGTCGGGGCTCGTGGGTCATGTCCTCGTATCAAATCAGCAGAGCGGCCGTCCCATCACGACATGACGCTGCCGCGGTAACGTCAACGTCGTCCAGAGGCTCCTTGGGCTCCTTTGACGGAACCGGTGGGTCTCAGAGCCTAGCGGACAGAGCAATACGAGGTACGAATCGCGGAGCCGTTGGCACGAACGGGGGGTGAACGCTGGAGCAGTGAATCGAGGTCGGAAACGCGGCGCCTGCGCTTGCGTCGACGTGGGCGCTTCGAGGATGGCGGATGCGCTTGGCCGTCAGTCGCAACAAAGATGGGCACACCAGCGCCGGCAGATGCAGGTCCTGGCGGGAGATTACAGCGTCAGAAGACACAGCGGCACGACAACAGCGGCGACGAGGGGCACGCAGCGACTGAGCGACCGAACGCGCCGCCGTCGACAGCTGCCTGAGGGCTGGCCGTCGTGAGAGGCACGGGCCACCAGTGAAGCTTGCAAGGTGATTTGTTGGAGGCGCCTAGCACTCTGACGCTGTCAGCCGTTGCGCGCTCTCGACCCGCCCTTCCACGCTGCAGTAACTTTCAATGCGCATGGTTCATTACGTAGGGCTCCGGAGAGACTCCGTCGACCGTGTTTCATGTCACACGAGCACGTGGCGGTGCAATCGTGACAGCCACACCAAGAGAACGAACCACGGCTACGGCCTCGCAGCGAGCACCAGCCGAGGCCGGGGTTGCGGTGCGGTGCGTCAGGGCTGAAGCTATCGTCTTCCCTTAGTCAGGAACTGGGCGGAACATGCCATCAGCGCATCCGTACGATCATCCACGTAGCCATTCTAACACCTAGGTAGCCACCTTTCCTCGTATCAACAATTTCAGACTCAGCTCCTTCTGCGATCTCCGTCAAAGTTACCCGTCGAGTACACCGCTTCAACGGTGTAGACACATTTCTCCGGTTTCCATGTCTCCTACTAATCCGTGGTGGGGCAGCGGCTACCTAGGTAGCAAGCAGGGCCAGCCTCCTAACTAAGCCGGGCGTAAAGCGCAATATGTACACCCACCAGGAGCACGACCATCATCAAGAGCAGGAGCTATCCCCCTGAAAATCTCCAACTCTTGACGTGGAACAGGATGTCAGCTTGTCAGCGTCTAAGACCTGCCGTAGGGGTGCCTCGAGCGGGGCATGTTCTTCATTCCCGGCGTCGTGAAGCTTGCCATTCCTCAGCAAACACCTTCAAAAGCTGGCAGTTGGCGTCCGAGAAGCCTGGGAACCATCGCAGAATATCAAGCACTAGAGCCTCTCCGCGCGTCCATGTCCTGGGTCTGGGAAGCGTCGGCACTTTCTTAGCTCACTCGATCTCCGAGATACCTGCAAGGCCAGTAGTAAACCTGCTGCTGCATCGTCCTTCTCTCATGAACGAGTACCTAAAAAACGGCAAGAGACTTCTACTCCAGACGCACGAGGGCCAACAGATCGCCCAAACGGGATATGACGTGGAAGTATTGCACGGAAAAGAATGGCACAAGGTGCAAGAATTGCGCATAGCTGGAGATGCTGAGGTACTACAGCTACCAGGACCCCCATCTGACGAAATTATCAACGATCTTGTCGTATGCGTCAAGTCTACGCAGACTGTGACAGCCCTCCAACCTCTTCTACCCCGACTCTCGCGCACGTCAAATGTTACATTTCTGCAGAACGGAGCAGGCATGATAGAAGACGCAAATATGTTGTTGTGGCCTGATCCACACACGCGACCAAATTACATTACGGGTGTCATCTCCCATGGTATCACTCTGAACGGGCCCTTTGATGTCACCCACACGGGACCTGCAGCAACATCGGTAGGGCCCGTCCCGCGAGAAGACGGCGATACATCACAAATACCTTCGGCTCTCTTAGAAATCTTTCCTCTTGCACCTCGTCTGAACTGTCGGTCTTATCAATGGCCCACCATACTCCAGCTACAACTAGAAAAGCTTGCCTGTAACGCTCTCAGCAATCCGATCTGCGCGCTCGAAGATGCCGTAACCGCATACATTCTAAGCATACCAGAAACCAATAGAAGGCTCATGCAAGAGATCTCGTCTGTCATCCTCGCATTACCTGAACTACAGGGCGTAGAGGGAGTAAAGGAAAGGTTTTCGGCAAAAGCCCTGCACGCTACTGTCATAGACATCATCGAGAAGAACAGAGCGACAACTGTGAGCATGGTATGGGATATGAGGCATAGGAGAGAGACGGAGATTAGATATATCAATGGATACTGGGCAAGGCGCGGAAGAGAAGTGGGTGTGAGAACGCCGCTGAACGACGAGTTGGTAGAGAGGGTACAGGCGATGACGAAAGACAGACTGCGAGAGCCAAAGTCGTGATATGAACATTCGGTTGCATGCTTAGAAAAGCTTTGACATTGACCAGTCTTCGCGTTTGCTGCCACGCAGGTGATGATGCATAGTTACTAAGAACATGTTGGCAAAGTGGTTCCGCTACCATGGAATTCCCACGAAGCTAAGAATGCGCCCCACTTCCAGATGTCTCGACTTCTTCACCCATATCGATCGCGTGTTTGATGCGAGACAGTTCCATTGTGGGTTGGTCTTGTTGCGAAGAATTTCGTCGTCAAGGAGACTTCGAGCTGCGAGTGCACGCATCCGGTAGCAATACTATGCCGCAGATTTGGTAGCTCACGCCACCTGGGCTGACAAACGGCGTGGTATGCTGCGCGTCGCGTTACTATGGTGCAGCATCCCACATGCACCCGATGCACTCGCACGAGACAGGCCCAACAATGGCGCTGGCCGGTAAAGACCGGACATGACCTCATTGCTGTAAACTTCGCGGACCCTTAAAGGTAGCTGCGCCCAACAGCCTGCCACCACCACACCAAACACACTACTTTCTTAGCATCCAAAGCTTCATCTCTCTGACAGCTTGGCAACATGGCGCAGGATCTACGATCGCAGGACATCAAAAACCCAATTGACGTTGCAGAGGTAAGTCGTGGGCTGTACACGCGTGTGAAAGCGCGCTAGCTGCTGACAGGATCCCAGTACCTCTTCCGAAGACTACAACAGGTCGGCGTTGAGTCCGTCCATGGCGTTCCAGGAGACTACAACCTTGTCGCACTCGACTACATCCCCAAAGTCGGCCTGAAATGGGTCGGCAACTGCAATGAGCTGAATGCTGGTACGTGGAGCTTGTTCTTGCGTTCGGGCTATCAGCGGCTCGCTTGCGGGAGCGACCGAAGTCGATCCGTCTGTCTCATGCGATAGGTGCTGACGATCATTACAGGTTACGCCGCAGACGGCTACGCAAGAGTCAAGGGCATTTCTGCTTTGGTAACAACCTTCGGCGTGGGCGAATTGTCTGCTGTCAATGCCATCGCCGGAGCCTATTCGGAATATGTCCCGATCGTCCATATCGTCGGCTACCCATCGACTGTATCTCAGAGGAACGGAGCGCTGCTGCACCACACTCTTGGGAATGGCGACTTTACGGTCTTCTCGCGCATGTCCAAGGAGATCTCGTGTGCTGTCTCGATGCTCAACAGCCAGCATGAAGCGGCCATGCTGATCGACAACGCCATTCGGGAATGTTACCTGAAGTCGAGGCCCGTCTACATCTCCTTGCCCAGCGACATGGTAACCAAGAAGGTTGACGGAGATCGCCTCAACACTCCGCTTGATCTGGACTACCCGCAAAACGACCAAGAAGCCGAAGACTACGTCGTTGACGTGGTACTGAAGTATCTGCACGCGGCAAAGAACCCCGTCATTCTTGTGGATGCATGCGCTATCCGCCACCGAGCACTGAAGGAAACTCACGAGCTCATCAAGAAATCTGGAATACCCACTTTTGTCGCCCCAATGGGAAAGGGTGCGGTGGACGAGACTCTGCCGAACTATGGTGGTGTTTACGCCGGAGACGGTTCAAACGCTGGTGTGCGTGAACGCGTTGAGTCGTCCGACCTCGTGCTCAGCATTGGTGCTATCAAATCCGATTTCAACACTGCAGGCTTCACCATCCGCATGTCCCAGCTTACGACTATCGACCTACACAGCTACGGATGCAAAGTACGATACTCGGAATACCCTGGTGTTAGGATGAATGGCGTTCTTTCCAAAGTCACAGCCAAGCTTGGAAAGCTGAACGTCGAATCTGGACCCAACCCGAACAATAACATCCCAGACAAGGAGACTTCATCGACAGAACCAACCATTAAACACGCCTGGTTCTGGCCAAAGCTCGGTCAGTGGTTGAAGAAGGATGATGTCCTCATCACCGAGACTGGTACCTCCAATTTCGGCATCTGGGAAACCCGCTTCCCAGCTGGCGTCAACGCCATCTCCCAAGTTCTCTGGGGCTCTATCGGCTACGCAACCGGTTCCTGCCAAGGCGCTGCCCTCGCCGCGAAAGAGTCAAACATCAAGCGCACTATACTATTCACAGGTGACGGTTCCTTCCAACTTACCGCTCAAGAAGTCTCCACTATGATCCGCAACAAGCTGGCTCCCATCATCTTCGTTATCTGCAACAAGGGCTACACAATCGAGCGACTCATTCACGGATGGGAAGATCCCTACAACGACGTCCAAGAATGGAAGTACAAGGACATTCCCCGCGTCTTCGGCGCTGAAGAAGGCAGTGTACTCACATACAGAGTGGAGACGAAGGAGGAGGTTGAGAAGCTGTTCCAAGATGAAGAATTTAGCAGTGGCGAGACGCAGAAGATGCGGTTTGTTGAGTTGGTCATGCCGTGGGACGATGCCCCGGCGGCTTTGAAGGCAGTTGCTGCTGCGGCGGCTAAGACAAATGCTAGTGCGGAGTAGACAATGGATCGAAGGAACGACAGGTAATTGACGATGTATCACCAAGGCGGAGACAATGGATCGAAGGATCGACAGGTAATTGACGACGTATCAGTAAGGCGGAGACAATGGATCGAAGGATCGACAGGTAATTGACGATGTATGAGTAAGGCGGAGACAATGGGGTATGGCATTACGTAAGATTCTCTTCTCTTATACGAATGATGACAATATAACTCTCCTAATGTACAAACTTCCCATTGATACTTGCATGTGGTGTTCATAACATCAGCCTTTGTGGCCACAGAACCAAACAGCATCTACCAAGCTAGACTTCCATGATAATGACGCTGGCGGTGCCTCTGCGTCTTAGGGGTCGTCATTACCCACATCCTTATCCCCATCCTCACCTTTTCCCGCAGCCTCATTCCTATACTCATCTGTAAATGGGTTCTGGTTCCGGCCCTGGTCCTGGTTATGGGCATTCGCCGCGTTCTGGCCGTAGAAGCTCCATACCACATTCTCCCAGTGGTCTGCAGTAATCGTCTTACCAGCAAACATCTTGAGCATGTAGGAAAACTCGTCGTCAGAAAGATCACCCTGAGGGGGCACATAGGAGGACCCATCAACTGCAGGGGTGTGCGAATCTGCAGATGGCGCATCGGGTGTCTGTGGGCGAGCTTGCTGCAGTGTGTTTTGATACTCCAAGTGGTTGACGGACTCTCTAAGACGAATGTAGAGTTGGTTCATGGCGTCGACCATGTCGCGGGTGTCGTTCTGTTGTTCCTCAGAGCTTTGATACGGGCTTCCATGTCTGTATTCGCTATAGTTCCGGTGAGAAGAGGACCAGCAGCTGTGTCATGATCTTTTGAAGTGGGACGAGAGGGGTTCAGGTCATATCCCTTCTGCTTTCCTGTCTTTCTCGTAGCTGATACAGGGAGGAAGTCCACTACCTCACCGTCTGTGTTCTTGATTTGGAAAGCACGTACAGAGCGGGCGGACGTTGGGGTCGCTGTCATGCGGTTCGATTGATCAGCCTGGTTCTGAGCCGCGTAACGGAACAGATCCCTAGAGGAAGAGATTGATGGGGAAGAGCGACTGGGCAGAGACATCCTTGAAGCCACATCCACCGCGCGACCAGCTTGTCGTTCGGTCTGCAGACCAGGGAACTCGTCCATTGCTTGGTCGGCGTCACGCTGAGAGCGTTCATCTTGGGGTACGCTAAGGCTTGGTGGATATACGGCGCTTGGTCGGGGTTGATTGATTGTGTTTCCATGTACACCGACTGTCAACCTGCCGTTGAAGTCCTCGCCAGATGGCTGTCTGCCAGTCGCACTGTTGAGTCCCATCCTGCCAAACTGAGACAGGCTATCGTTGATGGAAGGGCTGCGATCTGGCGCAGGTCCTGCAGCACCACTGTTGCGCCCACCGCGGTCGTTGGTGCGCTCAAATCTGTTCGAGCCTCTGCCTCTTCCTCTTCCTCTTCCCCTTCCAGACTCATTGCGACGGCCTCGCGGCTGGGTATCGCGAGGACCCGTAGGCGCATTTGCTGGTGGGGCGGGGGCATCTGGTTCATTCTCGCTATTCGCGCCGCCTGGAGCCCACTTTGAGCTGTTCATAGTTCTCGTGTTGTGATATCGGGTGACCTTGTGCTTCTGTGTCAAGGAGGGTGACTGATCCGAGTTGGAACGCAGGATGAGAGCCGGAGCTGGGCTTAATGTAGGAAAGAGCAATCGCGTCAAGTAGAGCAAGCAGATGTGCCAAGCAAGCAGTGCGAAAGGAGTGGAAGATGGAGCACGAGACTGGAACTGTAGCTTGCAGTGCGTAGAAACAGTCAGTAGACTCGCGCTTTGACGTAGCGCAGGGAAACGATACGTCAGCTCAGCTCGCGTTTGCTATGTCGTGTGCGCACTCTCATTTCGCCATCTGGATTTTGTAGAACTAACGGGTCGAGGTTGGATGGACACAGACAAGGGCCTTAGATCGACTCTCGGATCCTGTAAGTAAGTAAGTCTGATCTATCCACTTGTTTTCCATGTGCGTTGTATTCTTGCAGGCCAATGCAATCCATATATATATTCATCTATCGTTCCCTCGTATTATCCTCATGTACCAGCCACCTCTTCTGTTCTTTTCTCAGCATTTCTTTATTACGTTCGTCTTCTTTCCTTAAAGTCTTCCTCTACAAAGCGATAGCGAAACCCACAGCTACAACCGCAGTGCTAATCGCCGTCCACAACGTCCGGCCGCCAATCATGGCGCCACTCGCGTCACCCGAAGCAGGGTCGCTCGAGCCCTCACCATCTCCCGTTGGGCTCGGCCTCGGGGGTGGGAAACTTGTGTTGGACGGCACGTTGGTAAGGTTCTGCACGGTAATCCACGTAGCCGCAAGAGCCGTCGTCAGGTTCGCGTCAGCCGCAAACTGGCTGACATTGAAGCCCACCCTGTTGTCCGCCAAGTCCGCGTACATGGAAGGTATGCTGAAGTTGCGCGGTTGCTGCATGAGTATAAATGTGTAGCTGTGGGGGCTGTCGCCGACTGGGGGTGAGGGCTGGAGGTATGGAACGGGGTTATCCGATGGGATCTCGAGTGCTGAGCCGGTTGTGTTGGCGGAGATGGGGACAGAGCGTGTGACGTTTGTGGCGATCCAGTGGACTAGTTGGACGCGTGAATTGTTACGGGGCACGTCGAGGTCGACCATGAGGAGGACGCATTGGCCGGGGCCTCGCTCGTCGGAAAACCATACTGGCGACGAGACGGTTGGGGGTGCTGCGGTTTCTGGTGGTGATGAGTGTTAGTCGGTGTTCAGTCGCACTTGGCTCGACTGCGCCGCGACGACAGCGGATGAAACGTACCGGGACGAGGGATGCGCTCTCCACCGGGCGACACGGTATTGTTGCCGTACGTCACGGTCAAGTTCTGAGTGACGTCGATGGGAAAGCCAGGCGCTGATCCCGCTGTCGCAACACGTGCGAGTAGCGCAGTCGCGCTCAGAATGGTCTTGGTGAACATGGTCGGTGTCTTGGCTGGTGTTGCAGTCGGCGTTGTTGTGGAGTAGGTCGTACTGTTGTGATGCGGTTATGCGTGATGATCCGAAAAGCAACGGGCGCAAGCAGCTTCTTTAGTATTCTGCCGTTGACCTGCGTCGGCTGCGGGAGCTTAGGGCTTGATACGCAGCTAAAGGCCTATTTCCGTGTAGCCGGAGTGACAGCAGAGGTTCATGACGTTTACCAAGACTCGGTCCCTTGCTCGGGGTTTCGCACGGCCAGCGGACGGCATCCCGGCACAGCTCACGAGAAGGCTGGGGCTGGCCGCCTGAGGGGCCTTGTTCATGCCGCAGCCAGAATTATTCCGAGCGACGCCCTGGTCGCCTCGGCCTCAAGACACCGTCAGTCGGATTTACCATGTTGCGCGCGAGTGTATGTAAGCATGCGTCTTTCTTTGGGTTGTGGTTGCGACGCATGCTCGCCTAGTTGGGGCCAAAGAGACGGGAGCCGGCTGAACGTCCAGCTATTCAGGCCGCCCTCATCGCACGATGCCTGCAATTAAGCCATGCATGAATCAAGTATGCCTGAGATTTGTCTATGCTCTATGGTTTCGAGGCCTTGCATCCTCACATGGACTTATCGGCGGCAGCCCTATCACCTCTCGCTCGGGATGCAGACGTTGTGTCCGCACAAGCGCAATGGTATCAGAAAGCCGCGCCTCATTACCAGTCCCCCAGGGCTATTATAAGGTGATCATATGGTCTCGCGCAGGGCCGACACCAATCCATTTGACCTTAACTCCGACGAACTTCTCAATGTACTCAATGTAACTCCTCGCCTGGCTGGGCAGGTCGTAGTAGCTTGTCACGCCAGTCGTCGGCTTCTTCCAACCTGGCAGTGTATCGTATTGTACTTCGACCTGGGCAAGGATCTCGGGGTTCGCGGGGAAGCCTTCAAGCACCTCGCCCTTGTACGAGTAGGATGTCGCAACCTTGAGCTCGTCAAAGTCGTCCAGAACGTCGAGCTTGGTGAGGTTGATGGCGGTGTAGTCGTTGCACGCGTGTGAGTGCTTGACAACGACCAGGTCGAGCCAGCCGCAGCGGCGCTTGCGACCGGTTGTAACGCCGACTTCATGGCCTACTGACTGAAGTTTCTCGCCCACCTCGTTGAGCTGCTCGGTAGGGAAGGGTCCGCTACTACATGTTAGCCTCTGATCCTGTCTTTCGGTGCAATGCAACTCACGATCCGACACGGGTAGTGTACGCCTTGACCACGCCAATGACCTCCTTCAGTGACCGCCATCCCAAGTTGAGACCTGTGATGACACCTCCAAGACCAGTGTTTGACGATGTGACGAATGGGTATGTGCCGTAGTCGATGTCCAGCATCAGCGCGTTCGCACCCTCGACGAGGATTTTGGCGTTCTTCTCCTTTGCCGATGCGAGGAGCGGGATCTGGTCGACGACGTAGGGAGCAAGCTTCTCGCGCAGAGTCTTTGACATTGTCAGTCTTTGTCCCGTATATCCCGACCCCATTGTGACTCACCTTGTACTTCGTAATCTCCTCCTCAACGTCGTACTTGAGCAGATCGCCATATCGCTTCTGGAACGAGTTGGCTAACCTCCTGAGCTTGGTCTCGAAGATCTGCTCGTCGAAGAGGTCGCACATGCGGAGACCGCTCCTAGTCATCTTGGTGCTGTAGGTTGGGCCGATACCCTTCTTGGTCGTGCCTGCATCCCGCCATCAGCACGTCAGTCCCGCAGCAGGCGCGTGTGCTCCTCACCAATCATGCCACCGCCCAATTCCACCTCCTCCAGGCCATCCACCATCTGGTGCACGTCAAACACGACATGTGCGCGGTCCGAGATGAATATTCTTCCGTCCGTCTTCAATCCGTGTTTCTCCAGCGCCTCCAGCTCCTTGAAGAAACTGGGTACGTGAACGACGCAGCCACTTCCGATGACATTGATGCAGCCAGGGTTCACGAGACCGCTCGGGAGGATATGGAAATCGTACGTCACGCCGTTCGCGACAATGGTGTGTCCGGCGTTGTTACCGCCCTGGGCGCGGGCGCAGATTTGCGACTCATGGGCTAGGATGTCGGCCAATTTTCCTTTTCCTTCATCTCCCCACTGTGCTCCGAGCACCACAGTAGTCGACATCGTGAGGGCGAGAGACAAGAAGGAAAGGGTGGACGGGGCGGCAGGTGGGTTTTCAATTCCGCGTTGACTCGATCTAACAAATTCGTGCCCCACCCATCACCCCGCGATGCCGCAATTTTCCGCACGAGCCACCAGTGACGCATGTGAAGAGCCGCAATTCATGGATCCCATACGTCTGGGTCTTTCCGCGCTGATCTGCAATCATCGCAATCACAGCGCCTACATTGGTCTACAGCTACGTTGTTATCGTGGTAAACGCATCAAGAAATTGAGAAATCTCATTTCTGATATCTACAAACACCTCCAGTGGTAATCAGTCACATCCACTCGTGTCCTCCTAACCGCGCCAAACACCCGGACCCGGCGGCTGATATGCCTCTGGTGCCGACGTGTACTTGTTTAGGTCAACAAGAATTCCCGGGTCATTACTTCTGCGGCCCGCGTTAGAATGTCTCTCATACTCATGAGCTCTACTTACTTGTAAGCACCCGGGAACGCAACGAGCGGGCTCGGCAGCCCGGTTCCTCCCCCTGTTATCTTGACCTGCGAGCAAGCCAGGTAGAACTGCGCTTTGTTCGCTTGCATAGCCATATGCAGTGCGATGTGCTCAACACGGAGCAAGTAGTCGCCCGAAGGAGTGGCAGCAGGGATCGTGGTATTGAGTGTAACATATTCATCTGTGGAACAACATAAGTCAATGTAGGATATTATGAGAGAGTAACCCACTCTGCCCTGGCCAGCTCATCTGCTTCTGCGCATTTACGCTCGGCATCGTGGTACTGATCTTGAACCACACTGCGCCACTTCCATCCCAGCTCTTCACGTCCTTGCCATCGGGAACTTTGGCGAGGTAGTATTACGTCGGTCCCGGGTGATTGACTTGCTGCGTGGATATGTAGTGAATAGTTGATCCGGCCGGTACGCTTGCGACGTTTGGCGCGGTTTTGGACGAGTAGCAGCGAATGTCCGCGACAGTGGGGTTCTGGTCAAAGTAAGAATCAGAGACACATCATGAGCCAATGGTAATTCGAAGACTATCTTACCTCAATGCCTTGCTTGGTGTTCGCATTCTTGGTCTCGCGGGTCGAGGCCCAGTCTTTATCTTCTGGCTTGCCATCTACAACAAGACGTGGGAAGGTGTCTATTCGTATGAGACTCACATGACTGGAATGCATTTGATCCTAACTCACAATGTGCCTTGACCGCCGTGGCGGCTACCAGGAGTGCAATCAGTATCTGCATGATGAGGAATCAGATATTTGCACCTGAGAAACATCCAGCTCTCGCTTTGACATCTTATTTATGCTTCATGAGCCCGATTCCAGAACGGGCATGTGAGCTGAGTTGGGAACTATCGGTAGATTAGCTTGGCGGTTTGGCATACACCGAAGTAGTCTACCACAGGCCATACACACATCGCAATATACTATTCCCATCAGAAGAACCAATAGACATTGACCTTCTTATGAATTATGTGCTACGATCCGGCATCTGCCGAAACAAAGTAGGCCAACGGCCAGACCGCATATTGTCAATAGCTCACCAGATCAATCACAGAGTTCACCATCACAACGAGTAGATGAAGATTTTGGATGCCCACATTTATTGGGCAAGCTGTAAGGGAAAAGTTGAATTCCCATATGCCCTACGCTAACATCGAGCAAAGTAAAACGAACGAAATGTTGAGGTCGTATCGAATCGTAAACACACACGTCTAGTGCATGTAGCGGAACTCAGGGTGTCTGTATCCGAGATCCTTGATCTGAGCAGCGGTTTTGCCGACCAAGCGGTGGTCGCGCTTGCCCATATCACGCTGCTTGTTTTCCCACTTGCAGTAGCAGATGCCGAATATGGCGAGAACACAGACGCAACACTGACCAACCAAGTTGATGGTGTGGCCGATTGGGTATCGTGGCGCGTCAGCACTTGTATAGGTCCTGTAATGTATTAGTCTGGGGTCTGATTCAATTCTTCACAAGATCCGACGTACCAAGTCGCGAGAATACCTCCAGCGGTACCCAGTGTGACAACGTAAGCAGTTGAGACGGAGCGGATAGCAGGACCTGCCGCATTGTTCGCCGCCCACGCAAGGAAGCCAGGACCTCCGGGAAATGCACCAATGGTGATCAAGAAGATACCGCCGTATCGGACGTTAGGATCGGTCGCCCATCGCATGATGGAGAAGCCCGCGATAGCCGGGAGCGTAAAGACAGCGAGGTAGACACCACGGCGGTTCGTCTTGTCTGATGCGAAAGCTATTGCGATAGCGATCAAGCAAGCACATACATAGGGAGGTACTGAGTAAAGTTGTGCCTTGGTGGCCGTCCATCCGAGATCCCTGAGGATAGTGGGCTAGTGATGTATATTAGTAAACTATAGGTTATTGGGAGAACATCGGCTTACCATGAATAGGGAGATACCCTGTACAGTGATGTTGATGAAGAAGAAACCAAAGGCACAGAAGTAGTTTGTGATGTTCATCACGGCCCGCTTGACGTGGTGTACTTCGGTCTTTTCATTCTCATCGGCTCCTCCTTTCAACACAAGTCTCTGTGTGGCAATCATTCGTTCGCGCTCGTTCAGGAACCAGCATTCTTCTGGGCTACGAGGCATAAGAAAGGGAGCAGCAAGGCCGACAATGACCGTGAAGAGTCCCTCAAAGAAGAAAATGTTACGCCAGGTATGGAGGATCATAGTCGAAGCTCCCCATGGTGGAATACGAGCGAGACTGTAATGCGATTAGTCTTCCATGTAATCTCAAGAATGTGACAGGACCTACGCAGTAGCGAGCAGTCCACCAAAAGCTCCAGCCATTGAGGCCGCGGATACGTAGATACCGATGCGGAACAAAAGTTCGTTGCGCTTGTAGAAACATGTGATGAAGAATGCCAATCCACTAAAAACTCATGGTTAGCATGCACCGTGAAACCCGGTGGAAGGTACTTACGGCATTACACCACCTTCAAATACACCCAGAAAAGCCCTTGCAACCAACAGCCCTGCGAAGCTGCTCACAAAGGCGCTGCATAGTGAGACGAAACCAAATCCACAGACGAGAAGTGGCAAGTAGTACCTCGGGCCAAGTTTCTTGAGAAGGATGTTGCTGGGTACTTCGACGAACATGTAGACAATGTAGAAGATCGAGGTTACCCAGTTGAAACGCACACCAGTGTTGAGGCCCAATTCCTCGCCCATACCCTGGATACGCGCGTTTCCAACATTGACACTTTCAGGGTGGTTAGCGAACAGTTTTGCACGCACTGAAATGATACGTACCGATCAAGGAAACACAGCAGGTAGAGAAAGGTCGTGAGCGGAACAATCACGCGGTCCAGTTTACGTCGAACCTTCTTCTCTTCCTCAGCTGTCCAGGTAAACTCGCCGTCTGTAGATCGGTCGCTTCCGTTGGCCTCCTCAACTAGCAAATCCGTTAGCAGATGTTCGCAACAAGATTAGTAAACAACGTACAAAGAACATTGTCTCCCTTCTCCAGCTCAGCAGGGGTTGGGTGGTTCAGGTGTGTCCCCGTCGATGCCATTCCTATTTGCGCCATCTTGTCCAAGTAGGATGCCGAATTCGAGATCTAAAGGATGCGAGGCGAAATCTCTTCGATGTGTCGTGGCCCCACACGTTCCGAAAGTCTGGGGAAAGGAATCTGGGGAAGAGCACAGCCCATATAAGAACGTACGATGCGTCCCGGTATCCGAACAAGCTTACTCGTCGCACGTCTGTGTCTTGGGTCGCAAGTCGAAAGCCAGGAAGAGGGAATCGGCAGTTACTTCGCAGCCTTCAGAGGATGGCAATACGGCACCATGTTTAGCTTGATGTCCGCTCCACCGCGCGCTCTTATCCCGTTCCAGCTGGCGGCTTGATTGAACAGGGAGCGAAGTCGGTGCGGAAATTTTACCGAGTCGACACAGAACCCTACATAACGCCGCACAATTATCAACGGCCTCCTCTTTGGTTGGCGTGTTGCGGGGCCGTTCTCTTGGCTGACATGGGTTGACTCGTGGAGCCCGCGAGGGTGACGGGCGGGTGCTTTCATTGTGGTCATTTTGAAACGCCACGCTTGGCGAAGCGGGACGAGAACTTTGGTGTTGCTAGCAGCTCGCGACGCGTTTCGGCAGTTCTGTCCATCTTCTCAGTACTTCCTGATGGTGTGAACAAACTGTAGTTATGGAGTCCTTCTCCTCATAGATTGAACTGGGGTAGGTATGACGGGTTACGGTCAGATTACGGGCGGACTGTGTGACAGAACATTTATCCACCGTGGACGAGTTTTGCTGCCGCACCAACAACGTAGGCGAGGGACTGCTGCATATCAGCGCGGCAGGATTGCATGCGGTCTACAGTATTCCAGACAACTCGGTATCCTCCGCCGACGTCTAAAGTGATGCAATTGGCAGCCTTCTCCCACAGGTCATGATGTACCTCTGCTGCTCATGCAAACAATAGCATCCCCGCAATTTACCCGAAATCCTCTGTGGCTCGTGTGTCCTCCGGTGGATTTTCCTGATTTCTTTTGTTCCTTTGTGAGCAACACAATGCAGGAAATCCACCGACACGTACTCGCAAGTAGAACCCCTAGAGCTTCTCAGCGAGTAGAGAGTGTGATAGGGTCCATCAAAGTGGGCCAGTCTCGTATCTGGACTGTTCCGGCTCGGTCTAGTCGTAAAGTGGCTGCAAATTATGGCTTGCATCAACGCAGAATGTGAAAGCTTTGGGAACCCGAAAGACGGGAGACTCGGTGGCCGAAGATGGCTGTGAGTGCAGCGAAATGGGACGGGCGCGGGCGTTGGGAACAGAACCTTAGAACGCTCTTGCCAAGCTGTCGCGCCACGTGGCTGAGACACTGATCTTCACAACATTGCGAGCTCCATAGATACATGATGACCTACAGAAAATCAAACAATTTCAATTTGACAAGGATTCGCAATTGCAGTATTCAAAGCGCCGATCATCTCCAGAGCCTCATCCTCAGAGCCTCAACTTCTTGAAGCGTTGTATCAACGACCCACGACTCCACAAAACATCGCGTCAAGGGCCACTTCCCCTCACAAATCCATGAACCTCCACAGTGGCACACGGGAACGGATGTCCTTTCTCGGCAACGCTACCTTTGGCGTCTCGACTTCGTCTCCACCAACTCCTTCATCACGTCTCTAATCTCATTAGGTCTTACCGGCGCGTCATCCAGATCCACCTTGGAAGCTGATGATACTATAGATGCGTGGGCTTTGGCGGCTTGGGTGGCTTCTCCGGCTTTCCTTTCGGTAGCTGATCGAACGCGGCAGTCGTCTTAAGGGCGGGTTTGTTCCCGCGATCATCCTCGGTTTCGGCTATTCGATCATGTGACCACTCTTGGGCATCGTCTTCAGCAACTTAAACTCCGGAAAGATCAGCTTCGTGGTGATCAAATACACGTTAAGAGTTCTGCGCACCGTTCTCAGAGAGGGCTGTTTGCAACTCTTCTCGAAGCTCCAAAATCGCGATCTCCAATGCCATATTTTGGTCGTCCATTTGTCGGACGAACTCAGCTTGCTCTACCGCCAAGATGTCAAGCTGAGCATCTACTTCTTTGATATGGCGCTGACCATCTGACAGTAGCTCTTCCAGAGTTGCTTTAACCTCATCTTCAACCAAATCCAGGCCATCTGCAAGCTCATCTCTCTCTTCTTCCAGCGCGTCCATCCGTTCCCTCAACTCATGTACTGTGTCTGTCTCAGCAGCGTGAGATCCAGTTAATCGCGCGAACGCTTCATCGCGATTAGCTTCTTCTTGCTCTAGACATTCTCCGCAGTTTTCGTCCCTGTCGTTCTCGAGCTTTCTCCAAACAGATTGGTGATTGGCAGCTTCTGCGGTTTTGGCAGTGGCACAGGACCATGTCGTTAGATCTTGATGCCCGCAAGCGAATGTTGTCTCGAGATCGACGTGAACACAGATGTCTGCTGTTGCTACCTTTAAGTCCTGTTCACGCTCAGCTTTCCGTTGCTGGAGCATCTTAGCAGATACGTTCCCAGCATCTCGAGCCTTCTGTTTTTCTTCGTTACGTTCGCGACGGAGGCGATTCATGAGTTCCGTTACACAGGGTCTGCATTCGTACTGGCTTTTCCTACTATGGTCTGCAGTCTTCTTGCAACTCCTCTCCCCACAGGGGAGGTTGTTCTTGCTCTCGTGGCCACAGTCGTACGTAATTACGAGATTGGTACACATGACGGACAATATGATTTTGGGGTAGCGGTATCCGGCGATCTCAGTCTGCGATTAAGATATGGGTGATGGACATGAGTATCGTATAGATCTTGAGTATCTACGCTACAACCTTGGAATGATCAACGACGTGTCACTCAGAGAGTCTTCAACAGCTTCAACCTTGCCATGTGAGCCAAATCGTCACATTGGGCAAAACGTGTCACATTGGTAAATGCTTCACAAAGGCAACTAATTACAAAACCATTACATTCGGCACACGATTACTTTTTTCCCAAGAAAACGCCGTCTACATTACCTGCATCCTGTCATCGCCAAACACCCAATCTACTTGTTTGCTCCCCTTTATCACGTTAGCCCAGGATGTGCACAACATATCGCGTTTACTTCTACTGCGGACACCTAAAGTCCACGACCACTCACGAGCACTCTGGCATCGAGTGCCCAATCAACGAGGCGAAGAGCATCACAATCGACGAAAAGTGCAAGCGCTGCGTCCAACGAACATCTCGAAAGAACGTCCGACTCGGCGATATCATGAACGGTGCGGAAGTACCATCGATAGTAAAAGGCGAGGAGAGTGGTGCCCATAGTGGCGCCAGCGAGCGATGATGGGAAGTTCAGAAGACTGGGTGTTCTCAACATTTAACTTCACTATCATCGAACCGTCATGAACAACCCAGAGAGGAAGAAAACACATGATTCGGGTTCTGGATTAGAATCAGACTAGATACGCATACTATGACGCCGCCCTCTATGTGGTGGTCTACGCTCACAGGTTCATTATGGAAGTCTTAGCATTGCTGAAATACAACATACTCAAATCTCGCGTTGCGTCCGATGCATGCCAACGTGATGACCTGGTGAAGCGCTTTTACGGGCAAGGGAGTAGCCTGTTGTCCAACTTGTAGTCACATAAGCCCAGCGTGCAGTTCTCCTTGGTCTCTTCAGCTCATTCCAAGCATCACAGCACCCTATATGGCAGACATCACTGTACCTGTCAGTCCAATCTACGTCACCTACTGCTCCCTTGGAAGATATCTGGAGAATCCCAATACCAGGCTGTGAGAAGAATGTTTAGCCCCATCGCCTTGTAGATTGCGCGCGGCATTGCTCGTGCCCGGCGAAGGCTCCATAGACAGCACCCCTCTTCTGGTGCTAGCCTTGTCGACAATGAACATAGAGCTTCCGCACTAATGCTACTTATCACCATGGGTGCTACGACCGACATCTCGACTTGTGACTATCCGTTGTTCGAAGGGCTCGACGAGATCGCTGCCGCTGACTGGCGATGGGCTGTCGGCATACGAGGCGGGACTAGAGATCGGTCTCTGCGCGAGGTGCTGGAGCGACTTCCGTATGCGAGATTTGTGCGAGGAGGGCGCTCTGTGTGACATAGTCTTCGGTGAAGTCTTATGAGTGGTGTCAGTGCGAAGAGAACGGGGCGGAGAGGAAGCTGTTGGACGCGTTCAGAACAGCTGACCCGAAGACGCGGTTGAATGGAGATGGTCGAGGGAGCATGTGAATACATGGCATGTCTGCTCCATGTCTTCAGACGTGTCGTGAGCTACATCAGTGTAGACGACCTGCGGGTTGTGTAGGAAGCGTCGCGAGCTTCCAAGGTTGGTTTCCCAGCCGCGTTCCGATGCGCGGGTGTTGCCGGCTATAATCGATAAGTTCCGACGGAGTTTCCGATCAACTCACCACGCCACCTCCACAAACGCTTGACTTCGAGACTTCACGCCCCAGGTCACACTCCACTCAAATCACGACGCGTCTTACTTGATAACCAACATGGCCAAAGTCGAAGGTGCCCCTGCTCATGGCGCTGTAGCCCACCTCCTACCACAAACATACAAGCGATTAGTCTCGGAATGGCTGGAAGAGGACACACCAAGTTTCGATTATGGTGGTTTCGTAGTGGGCGAGGAGCTATCAGAAGCGAAGCTGCTCGGAAAGAGTGAAGTGAGTGTTTTCGACTACTGTAAGTGCCGACTAACATCGACAGGGCATAGTAGCAGGCGTCCCGTTCTTCGATGAAGTGTTCCGACAACTAGGTTGCACGTGCGTTCATCTCATCGGATTACATGATCAAGCTTGATATTGACAATTGCTAGCGTAGAGTGGCATGTCAAAGAAGGTGCTTCATTCCAACCCATAACCCACTGCGCTACTGTGCGCGGCCCAGTCCGCCACCTCCTTCTCGGCGAGCGCGTGGCTCTCAACACCCTCGCCCGCTGCTCCGGCATCGCAACCAAGTCAAATCGCCTTCTTAGTCTTTTACGAGGAGCTGGTTACCCAAACATTCTTGCTGGTACCAGGAAGACTACACCAGGTTTTCGACTTGTAGAGAAGTACGGCATGCTGGTTGGGGGCGTGGACGCGCATCGAGTTGATCTGAGTGCAATGACGATGCTAAAAGACAACCACATTGTTGCCGCAGGAAGCATAACCAATGCTGTAAGAGCAGCCAAAGCAGCTGGCGGCTTTGCAATCAAAGTCGAAGTCGAATGCCAATCGTTTGACGAAGCAGATGAGGCGATTGCCGCTGGTGCTGACATCGTCATGTTAGACAACTTCACCCCAGAAGGTGTCCAAGTTGCTGCTAAAGATCTGAAGGATAAGTGGGGACGGGGTACTGGAGACAGGAAGCAATTCCTCGTTGAAGTGAGCGGTGGGCTTACAGAGTACAACGTGGAGAAGTACGTCTGCGGCGATATTGATATCGTGAGCACGAGTAGCATACACCAAGGAGTACCACACGTGGACTTCAGTCTGAAAATCGTACCGAAGAGTAAAAAGGATGGAGGGGAGAGTTTAGCGGTATAATCTGACGGTGGGCGAAGGGGACTTGTGAGTATCCCTTGCGTATCGACAGACATAGCTAACTAGATCAGTATAGTTATCTACGATATTTGTCACCTTTCGGTGGCATGACTTTCACTACTGCGACAGCGCAGAGCAGACGCATTCACGACTTCCAAAGCTCACATCACACCTACTCAAGCAGGAGTCCCGAAATGAGAAAGCGAGCAAATGATGAAATCCGTGAGAGACTAGTCTCGCTATATATTGTTGGGATATCACACACAAAACGAACTAAATCGATGACCGGCCTACTCCGTTTCCACTACTTCTATGACCTCTTATCTCTTATCTTTTGTGACACTTTGAGGATGACGATGGTATTGCTAATGATTCTCTCTGTATTTGAGTCGTATCAGAGTGAAGATGGTAAACCCAACGAAATGCAATTCTCTTACCTTATACTATGGAATGCTCTCTCTCCCGACACCACGCCAACCGTCATTCTCGTGGCGCTTTCACTTTCGCAACACCGTGCTATTGTTGGCTTACAGCGCAACAAAGAAGCATCAAGAGTTTGAATAAGCGCTAGGTTATTGTGCAGCCGTGAACTCAATAGCACCAGCGTGGCATTGTGCTGGCGCACCTTCCGCCTTCGGACTCGGTATAACCAGTCCTTTCCGGATTACGCCAACCTTCCCACAATGTCGCATCACTGTATTGTGGTCAATACAATTAACCCATAGAACAAAGTCATTTTCTCTCTCACACACTTCTCATCATTACCACAAACCTTTGCCGAACAACAGACACAGGTACAAATATGCGCACGAAATTATCGTTTACTACGACCCTGGCGGCTCTGGCCATCCTAGGAGACGCGCACGGAGACCATGCTAATGACAGCAGGCAGTACGCTCTAACAAACGATCTTAGCTACAAGAACTTCTTCTCCGCCTTTGACTTCTTCAACGAAACCGACCCAACGAAAGGCTTTGTCAATTATCAGAATCAGGAAGATGCGACCAAGCAGGGCCTAATAGGCTACCTTGAGGACACAAAGTCCGTGTTCATGGGTGTAGACTATACGACCAAGGACCCCACTGGCCGCGCTTCTGTTCGCCTTGAGAGCAAAAAGAGCTGGAATCATGGACTACTAATTGCAGATATTCGTCATATGCCTTCGTCGGAATGCGGCACTTGGCCAGCCTTTTGGCTTCTATCATCTTCAGTGCAATGGCCGAACGGCGGGGAGGTCGATATCCTCGAGGGTGTTAACGACTACGAAAGCAACTCTGTGACTTTACACACAACCAAAGGCTGTGTTGTTGATAACTCGACTGCGACTGGAGGAGGATTTGGTGCTGTGGGTGGTGATAGCAATGCGCCATTTACTGGCCTTATGAGTACCGACGACTGCGACGTCGCCGCACCTGGCCAAGAGAAGAACGTCGGATGCTCTATCCACGCTCCTGACACCATACCTGGGATCCAAAGTGGCGGCGGTAGCGGTAGTTCCGACAATACTGGTGCCGCGCCTCTCCCATCTTATGGTACCGAATTCAACAAAGCGCAGGGTGGTGTCTATGCCATTGAATGGGCCGCCACCAGCATCTCAGTTTGGTTCTTCCCCCGCGACTCCCCGGGCTTCACGGATAATTTCTCTTCGAACACCACGACACCCGACCCATCAACCTGGGGCACACCTATAGCGCACTTCGGCGGTGCTGGCTGCGACTTTTCTGAGCGCTTCAAAGATCTTCAGATCATCTTTAACACTGCCTTCTGCGGCGAATGGGCAGGCGCCGAGTGGGATAAGTCTTGTGCCAAAAAGACCGATGTTGCTACTTGCAATGAGTATGTACGCGATAATCCCGAGGCCTTCGTGGAGGCGTATTGGGAAGTGGCGGGATTGAAATGGTTTCAGAAGGGTGCTGCGTAGAAGAGGAACACTATATGTCCTCCTTCTAAACTTGTGCCAATTACACATGGTTCAGTTGTCGATGCCAAGACGAAATATTGGTGATTCAATTGGTAGATTGACCATATGTTCATCAGCCGCATGGGCGTTGTGTCAAAGCCGCGAGCTTGTCTTGTTTTCTATATCTCTCAGCTTTTCGCGCAACCTTAGCAATATGATCTTGACGCATGACTCCCGAACGGCCGTTCATCCTGAGATAAACTCCCCATCTTGTTTCCGCCGAGGAAACCAGATTGTTGCAGTGCATACGGTATGCCGTTTGAGCCGTGATGGTTGAAAGTAGCGTTTCCCAATCGATCTAGCAGTGTAATGGCGAATATTGATCATAATTCTTGACAACCTCTCCTATTTGGTTTCAACAAGCGTACGTAGTGATACAACAGATGGAAAGCGTTGCAGTCGGTTGGAGATGGGTTCATCTCACGCGTCGCGGACGCGTCAAACCGCGGGATGGTCTAGCCGATACAGGTTAGAGTGGGAATCGTTTGTCTGCAGCACTTTTCGTCCACTTGGTGCATCTCACCGCAACATATTGCAACATCAAAGTCATCCCCTCCATGTCGGTATCTTCATCTGGCGCCTTCTCGAATTTCTATTTGGCAATATGGCTACTCAAAAACGATTGAATGATGCTGCACGTCTGACACTACCAAAGACCGTGTTTACCCTGAGCAAACTACCAGAGTACAAGCTCCTTGACGCTTGTGCTTATGAGAATATACTAATTATGGATAGTCTAACTAGCGAAGTCGTTCAAGTGAAGCTTGGATACTTCATTTACGACTACAATCAGCCTCCCGCACAGGTTGATCCACGTCAGAGCAAAATAGATGATTTCTTCTGCAAAATCCCCAAGACCGATAAAGCAGACAATGCCACTGGAAAGGTTGACTCGGCAAGTGATACGGAAGCCAAGAAGGACGAAGATATGTTCCACGTGCACAAGAACGTTTTGTGTAAAACGTCCGCATTCTTCCAGGCCGCTACAAAGCAGGTATGGCGGGGCCGACCTCGAAAACCTATCGATCTTACCACGGAAAACGGAGAGGATTTTAAATGTTATGTACAATGGTTATACAGTGGCAGAATCGCGATAAGCTACAACCCAGATCCTCAGCAAAATGACACAAACGGTTCATATCACCCTTTGGACGATCTCATAGACCAGTACCTCTTAGGGGGTAGGATCATGGATCCAACTTACCAGAATGCTGTCATGAAGGTTTTCATAGACTGCATAACTACGGGACTCCGCTTCGATCGTGGAACGTACGCGATTCAGAAAGCGTACAAAGGCACTATGGCCGGTGATCCGATGCGAAAGCTGCTTTTGGATTTCTGGATTTGGACAGCGGATGATACTTGGGACGTTTCTGATATCATTGAAGATGCGGGCAAAGAATTCACCCAGGAGTTGCTGGCTGCTTTGCTGGCGAAGCGCACACATCCTGGATGGTTTGGCAAAAATAGGCACATGAGGCCATGGACTGATCCTCAAACCCAAGGAGCGTATTACATCAAAGTTCCTGATGGCAAGAAGAGCGTTACTGCATAGCGAGATATCGACACACACCGGTGGCAGGCTGCTACTATATTCATATTATTCTCCGGTACCTGAATATCACCATCGCCTCACATCTTGTAGCCTACGGGTAGAACTGCGCAAAATTACACCGACTTATTTCCATTCAGTGCACAGATGGATCACCACGAGTACCCTGATCCCGATCCGGCCGTAATCGCTTGCCCAAGGAGCAGCTACAACGCAGCCCTTCACTACGTACAAATGCGCAACGCTAATCCCAGAACCTGATTAGCGCCGGTGCGCTCTCACCTCAAGTTGTCACTTACCGTAGAACCCAACACCTCGCATTTGTTACGCCTTCGATCGACTACCAGAAGCTAGGCTCGTCAACCATGGCGCCCCCAAACGAGCAACCAGCGAAGCGCCGAAAGCTTCTGCCTCAGGGCAGTGCTGATTCTCGTGATCTCCTTGAGTAGGTTCAACATACAAATGGGGTTTGGAGCAATTCTAATGAGGTATAGTGTAGGTAGCGAGATACTCATGGTCAAGGTTGGGGGTGGCGACGACCCTGTCGAACCGAACGTAGCAGGCGAAAATTGCGACAAGCCCGAGCACAGCAACGAAGGGGACGACAGCGATACCGACTCACACATTTCCAAACAACGCATCTTCCATATCCACAAAAGCGTTCTCTGTAAGACGTCCGCTTTCTTCCAAAACGCGACGAAGCCAGAGTGGTCTGGTCCAACACCGCGCCCTATAGATCTTTCCGACGAGTGCCCTAGTACCTTCCATTTGTATGTGCAATGGTTGTACAGTGGAAAGATTGCCGTCAAGACCAAGCCGCTCAGTGACTCGGACACGGGAGATCGCAAGCGCGAAAGTGTGAATCAGCATTCGATGATTCAGTCGTACGTTCTTGGAGAAAGGCTTATGGACCCCACATTTCAGAACGCAGTCCTGCAATGTTTGATCGAGTGCGTAGAGCAAGAAGACAGTTATCCCGGCGACCAGACTATCAAGACGGCCTATAAGCGCACGACAAAGCACTCGCCTCTTCGTAAATTGCTGGTCGACTTCTGGGTGTGGCACGGCGACTCTGAGTGGGCGGCTGATGACATGAATACGAGTCTGGGGACCGAATTCACGAACGACCTACTTAAGGCTATGCTTAAACTGCGTCCTGGCCCAAGTGAGGATGCAGAACAGGTTCAGCCTCTTTGGCTGAACCATCCAGAGACCTACAGCCTAAAAGAGAACAATAAAACCGCCAAGGACACCAGCAACAGCGGAGACGTTGCCAAAGAATAGCGTGGAGTGTGTCAGCGCATACTGCTAAGATCTGTGAAGGGAAGAATCGTGCGAGCCTCTTCAGAATTCACTGAGATGGTAGATTACTGCACACGGGGGGATGACTCTTGTAGATTGATGCAGCTTGAGGCTTTTGTCGGCTGTTTTGCACGCATATTGCAGGTTAGAGTAAGGGCATATAATTGATAATCAATGAAGAGTATTATCACTGACGGCTAGCATCTGCTCATAACTTCGGTGCCATATTGCTTTAGATCGTATATCTGAATCTCGGGCTGTCATCGCCCATCTCTGCAACATCCTCATCACTCATCCCTTCAATGAGATGCTCTTCCTCACCCTTCTCACGTCTCGAGTTGATGCGCCCAAGATGGAACCACATGACACCGTAGCATATACAAGCAAAAGCCACCATAGCCATAGTGATACCATGACCCTTGACGAAGCGGGGGCGATCAGCCGTGGGATAGATCTAGCGATCCGTTAGCAGCGTTTCCACATGGAGCCAAGTAATTACGAATAGACTTACAAAAGCACTCATAATACCCGCACAGTTACCGATGCTTAACTGCAGCCCTGTCGCAGTGGTCCTCTTTCCATATCGTGGCAGGTTTGTGGGTAGCCAAGCTAATGGCAGACCAACACATACATACAAGCCCATTGCGACAAGGAAGCAGCCAGCGTAATGAACGCCTGAACTCGCATCGCTGATCAACATGGCGTATCCGACGATGCTCACCACGCCGAGCAATATGCTGTAAAATCCACGCTTCTGCTGTTTATCGGAGAAACGCGCAACAACCAGGTAGGTAATGGCACCCAGTGCATAGCACGGAATCGTAAGGACCTGCACCATCGCGCTGCTGGCGGTAGTGTTGATCGACCTGATAATCGTCGGCAGGAAAGTAGAGTAGCCGTAAAGCATGGTATCGCTTCCGAATTGCGCAAAGCAGAATACCCAGACCTTCCAGTCCTTGACGCACTTCCTTACATCCTCCCAGTGAAACTCCGCTGCTTTCTTGGTGTATCCTGTCTGGCGCTTGAGACGAGCGGCGGCGAAAGCCTTCTCTTCAGCGGTAAAGAAGAAGGCAGTTTCCGGGGTGTCCGGCAGGATGAACCAGGTCGCGATACCTAGGACGAAGGTGGGAATACCTTCGATGATCATGATCCAGCGCCATCCGCGCAGGCCAGCCGTACCGTCCATATGTCCAATAGCGTACGCGAGTAGTCCACCGCAAGCTCCAGCCAGGGCAGCAGAGACGAAGAGGTATCCAATGCGTAGAGCAAGTTCGCGCTTGGTGTAGAAGAATGTCAAGTAAATGGCCATTCCGGGGAACAACCCTCCTTCCACGGCGCCAAGAAGAAGGCGGCATGCGATCAGACCGCCGTAGCTCTGCACGATACCGGTCAAGGTCGCGATGATACCCCATGCGACAGTGATAAAGGCTATCCATCGCGAGGGCGTAAGTTTCTTCAGCACCAGATTTGATGGTACTTCGGACAGGATGTACGTGACGAACAGAATGGAGACGGCTGTCTGGAATTGAGAATCGCCCATATTTAGATCTTCTTGTAGACCGTATAGACGGGCATTACCGATGTTGACTCTGTAATCGCGTAAGCAAGTTTCTCGTATAAGCTGCTGCAGACTCCCAATCGCATCCAGCCTGGATAGACGGCGCATTAATAAAAAAGAATCAAACTTACCTGTCCAGAAAACTAAGCAAGTACAACAGCATAACCACCGGAATGACGAAAAGATCCAGCTTGCGCACAATCTTTGCTTCCAAAACCGGGTCGATGCCTTCTAGCTGCCTACCAATCTCATCGCTCTCTTTCGCAGCATTAGGCACAGCCGGATCGTACTGTTTCTCGATGTCGCTCATAGTGTCATCAGACGTCCTCGCCTAATAGTGGCTCGGAGTATTAAGCAACAGTGATAATCGATGACTCCACGTGAGGAAAATCGGCTGTCGCGTTAAAAACGCAAGATTGCGGCAAATGCGTCAGGAAGGGATGGCGAGGAAAAAGGCAGCGAGCGTCGCGTTCTTAATGCATCCGGCCGAAATTCTGATCCGTCATCACGTAGTAACTCCACGACTTTGCCACGGAAGGGAAATGCTCATGCTTTAAATTCGTCGACGGCCTACGGCTTCGACATCGGACGAGTCTGCAAGGGGGCCCACTCTGAATATGTCGCCCGCGGGCAGATCCATGGCGGGGGGCTGGAGCCAATGGAGCACGGAGCTAACGGTTTACGGTATGACGTTGACGGCTACCCTGCCGGTAACACAGATACGACTGCTGGGCAACTGATAACGAACCATAGGCGTCGCTGTGGCCTATTGTCTGCCAATGTTCCAAGGTTGGGGGAGATATCAGACAAAAGATGGGGGTGCTCGCGTGCCCTTTTGAGAGAAGTGGTGGGGACAGGCATCCGGTGTGGTTTGACATGTTCGTCGCGTTAGTCCGCTGTCATGCATCGCTTAGGCAATGCGATTAGTCCTGTCTGACCAAACAATTGCTCCAACAGGACTTGGAGACGCGATTGCATCACATCACACTTTGTTGTGCAGATCAGCGCTGATCCTGAACGCGTTCCACAGCACGAGCTAATCACTAATTGATACCATTTGAGTGGGGATTGCCATTCTCAAGCAGACAGACGCCCTTATACCAACTCAGACGATGCCAGCGACGGATAACTAAAGGGCGTCGTACTCCAATCGATAGGCAGTACGATGCCAGAGTATATGTCGATCTGCGCTGAGGGATCAACAGGCCACCCCAAGTCGTCGCGCGGAAAGTCGATCTCAGCCACTGCAGGTTCCGTATCCACGCTCACGGTATGCTGGACGCAGGTACCGGCAAGACTTGACCGTGCAATCGCACGAACCTCCTTCGCCATTTTCATTCCGAGTGGCCATATAGACCCCATCGTGTTTAGAAAGCCGATGCTGAGACGCACACGATCTCGCGCTATCGACAGCGCGTGCCCATCCAATAGATAGGTACATACAGACACTTGTGCTGCCGCGAGTTGCGCGGTTAGGCACATGATAAAAACATTGTGCTTTTCAAGAGCGCAGGGGATTGCGAGGAGTTTGGTATGCATTTCTGTCGCCTTGAGCACACGTGCGGTATGTGTGTTTCGCCCAGATTTTGGTGTCAGCGTAAAGGGAGAAGGAGGTAGGAATGACTGCGTGGTCATCTCTTCAGGAAGGTGAGCTAGTGACGAGAAGGGCCTATGCAGTGTTGAGGTGACTCTGTCTTTGTTAGCATGACAGTAGCAGTGTATGAAGGAACGAATTACATTGCAGCACACATATGTGCCATGTACCTGTTGCACGTATCATCAGCGATTCTGTATTCGTATAGCTGACAGTGCGGCATACATCACCTCATCTACTTGACCATCTGGTCGAAGCGGGTCCTTCTTACAAGCCGGCAGCATTGACGACCATATCGCTAGCTTCATGTCGCAGTTCTCGGTCATCGTTTCGCTAAATGTAGCAGTGTCGATGAAGGACTTCATGGCTGGGACTATTAGACATGATACGAAGCAGATTGCGGCTTTCGTCGAGTACGCCCGCCTGCGGTCTGTACTTACTACAGGCGATGATCATCCCGATATCATAAAGATACACGATTGACGAGTAAACGATCTCAATTTCTGCGAATTCGCGGGCCTGGTACTCAGCCCACGTCATCACAGGCGGGATGTTCTGCTCATGTCAGCTCTTATCTCTATCTGCGCGTCATCTCGACATACCCCCGACTCAAAGTATTCATCATCGCACGGAAGATCAACGGTGTTTGATGTGAGAAGTAGTGTGTAAAAGGGCGTGTTGGTGACAAGGGCGAAGTTTTGATCCACAATATAGAGCACGTAAAACGTCCGCCTCCAACACTCTTCCAGTACAGCGCTACCTTCCCCATACGTCCGAGCAAAGTCTCTTTCGTTCATACGCAATTCTAATGCAATTGTGATAGCTTTATCCAGGTGCTTACGAGCCTCGGCTCTGGAAATGCTGTGGAACTCAACGAGGGCAAATAACAGCAGCGCTTGAACATTGAATGGTGTATGCGCCAGGTCGGGCAACGTGACAGCTTCTAATGCTGTCATTTGGTAGGGTTTCGATGGAGTCCAAGGGGCGTAGATTGATCCAATCCATTCCAAGACGGATATTAGTGTGGTCATTCCATGGTTCCCATGTAGGCGCCTGGCTTGCAGATAGTGGAGAGGCAGTACAACTGGCCACGAAGACCAGAAATATTCGAAGTACAAATCGATAAGTCGTTCATTGTCGACTTGGAAAATCATTCGATTTCGCTGGGTCTCGTTCCGTCCACGAAGAGGTATGGAAGAACCTGAAGAACAGCTCTCAATGGATCCCAGGCTAGACTGGTCGGATGGGGATGGCGCTGGTAACTGAAGTTTTCCGCTGGTCAAGTTTTTGGGTTCTTGTTGCAGCCGTAAACGTCGCTCCGCAAGTGCAGCTTTGCTGAGACCTCCTCTTCTAGATTTTTGATAGATGCATTCTTTCCCGTCGCGCCTGCATCGGTTGCAGGCGGGTTGTGTGGAGTCACACTTTACGTGTCTATTGCGACACTGGATACAGGCCAGCACTACTCGTTCAATTCGTTTCGGATCCGACGATGGCTCCATGGTTGAAGGAAAACGAGAGGAAGACTGTAGGTTGCGATGGGATCACGACAGTAATTTGGAGCTCCGCCGAAAGAGATCTTGCGCGCCAACCATGGAAGGTCAAAGTCAAGATTAACCAAAAATAATCCTACATTCCGGTGAGTGGAAGATGCGTAGGGCTGATCTGACTGGTTACACAGCGTGTCAAGTTGGGCGCCTGCCGCGTCGGCAAGAGTCGGATGAGCATCAGCATTTGGGGGCCGCTCCTTCTTCATTGGGACGTTACATTGGAAAACACAAGTTGTCAACACGGTTTAGGCATGAACGAAAAGCACTCGTGTGCGACACATTCAAGAGTTCAACTGACACGCATAGTGTCACTATTAATCCCGTACATTCGCAAGCCTTTCTACCCTACTACCATAAACTAGAAATAATCGCACTATAAACCCACGATCAGCCTTCGTGATACGACAGGCCAACGTAGCAACATCCAAGTCTCTGGTCTCAATGCACAAAACATGTAATCATATGCGTACCAGACCTGACGGCCAATAGACCGTACCAGCTGGGGTTGTCGCTTTTCGGTCGTATATCTATAATCGAAGGCGATGAAGCAGAAGGAAGAAGCCGCGAGCTTAACGCAGCTTGCCGTGATCTTGAGCCTCTTTGACCTGTTCAAAGACCTGCAATACAATGTTAGTTATCGGATTTCGTAGAGTTGTGAGAATGGCGGTGCATACCTTGAGCATCTTCCTACGTGCACCAAGCGCATTGACTCCACGCTTCTCCAAGCCTTCGTCATCGAGCTCGATAAGCTCCTGCCACTTGAGGTCCTTCAGGTTGTCTGTGTACTTGTGCAGACGGAGACTCCGAAGCCAGTTGGGAATGTCCGAAAGCAGACCAGGGTCGGTAGGATCCTCCGGGGGCTTGGAGCTGCCGCGACGGCCTCGGGGGGATCGACCGCGATCAATGTTGTCACCGAGGAAGCCATGGCCTTCATTACTGCCGCCGGCAAGACCAAACTGAGCAAGGTTGAGAGCGCCCATGCCGTTGTTCATCATGCCACCGCCGTAGTCAGCAGCCAAGAATCCGTTAGCTTGAGGCGATGTGAAGTTGCCCATGGCACCCATGCCCTGACCCTGCATTGCGAAGCCGGGGGAGCTGGGGCGCGATCGGCGACCTTGCATCGCAGCCAATTGCTGGGCCTGAAGAGCGGCCGCTTGCTGTGGTGTCAATACTTGGCCAAGCTCGTTTGTCATGAGGATGTTTCCGTTGCCCATCTGAGGCATGCCGGGGGACATGGGTCCGTTGTCAGAAGATCGGGCGCGGCGGAATTTGCGTACATCGTCCAGCTGGATGCGGTTGTTGACCGTGGACAGCGCGGCCAATTTCATAGCAGTAGCGTTCGCAACCATATCAGCCTGGTTGTTCGACTGTTGGAAATTGGCAACCATGGGAGTGCTCAGCTGGGAAGCCCAGCTTCCACCAGGGTTGTAAGAAGGCGAAAGGAGCGGCATGTTGGAGGAATTGGCCTCGAGAGCGTTCAAGGTGGTGGTCTGGACATTGTTGCTATCGTTCTGAAGAGGAAGACGGGGAGAGCGAAGACCGGCGGAGGGAGGTGGCTGGGTGAATTGACCCATCGGCGGCTGCTGGTGTTGCTGCTGGCCCGAAGACTTGGGGCGGTTCGCGCCCTCGTTCCAGGGTGATGCTGGCGGAGCATTGTTCTCTCTCTTGCTGTCCTCAGGGGCGGAGATGGTGGGAGCCGCTAGAGAACTGCGATCTCCAACGGTGCTATTGCGGTTGGACGCCGGCGCAACACCGACAACGTCGGTAAACTCAGCCTTCTGCTTAGCGATCGCAGCCGCGGCGTCCGGGAACATGCGATTGATCTGGGATGTCTCCAATCCCGAGTTGCGTTTTCCAGCACCCGGGGATGGCGGCGGGCGGCCAAGGCCCATGGAATGACGGTTTTCGCCAGTGCCGAGCTTGCTCATGGCGTCGCTCAGTTTCTGCGTCATGGGATCTAGTGCTCGTCAGCATAGAAAGTGGTCTGTAGATGTTGTCAAGCTCACCTTTCTCTCCAAAGTTGGCGGGGGACAGAACTCCAGACATAGGCACGTTCTTGGACATCTGCTGCAAGACTTGGATGAAGAAGCGAATCTGCACCTGCGTCGTCTGCTGGAGGAGAGCGTAGAGGGCTGCAGTTCTCTCGGCCTCACTAAGGACGCGGAACCA